AATGAATGCTGTTTGACAGATAAGTGTGGATGACATTAACAGGGTCCGTGAATGACGCATACCTATTTTGGGGGCCAACACATGACTCAACATATAGCAGTTTTCGTTTCGCACGTGTTGAGGTAACAACAACCACACATAGTTGCTGGCTGTCGGATGAGTCGGATGTCACCAAAAACCAGTCTTAGCTATTTGCCATTAGAAGAAGCAGTTGTCACCAAAACCAGACTTCGTTGTTTGATGCCAGAAGAATTAGATGCCACCAAAACCAAAGGACCAACGCGAGAATCTAGATCAACATCGTCAACCCAAGTCAACTCCCGTGATTTTTCTGTGTGTTCCTCCGCCATCAACACGGATTGGACGTTGCCAGTCCAAAAATTCATGTTAGAACATTGTCAATCCCATCCGTTACTTTCAAAGAAGTGTGTAAATATCCTTTGAACAAACTTTACCCTGATAATAGTCAATCGATGTCGATTCCAACCTTATGTAAGTTTCTGCATGTTTTTTCATATCTTATAATCTGCTATCTCCGTATTCATATGTATTTCGCCACATTAGTATTTGTTTAATTAGTAACTTATCTCCCCATCCCTTGTATTATTTAGTTTTCTTTTTCTTACATTTACCCTCCGTGTATTCTAAAAATAAAATCTTTGTATTATATATTCTCGTGTTGTCTTCTGTTGTTCTGTATCTGCGTATTGTTCATTTTCTCTCTGCGTTTACCGACGTCCGGAATTGGAGAATTCCCCTCCCAACGTTCTTTTCTTTATTTTTATATCGAACCTTGGGATCTCTTATGTTTTTTTATTTTCTCGTTGCGTCCCGGCTATCCAACGAAACCCCGGGCGTAACAGAATTAATAGATGACAATATACTCTTTGTTCTGTATTTGCTTTTACATCATTTGGTGAAAAATTTGATGGAGAAATTTTAGCCTTAAGTTTATTGCAAATTTTGCTCCCCTCTCTGTGTTTGAGAGAGAAAGGATAGGGGGTTGAAAGATGTTCTAATGCACTTCTTAAATTTAATTTGCTTTAAAATATTTGATTTTCTTTGTAAATATTTAATCACTTCTTAAAAGCGATTAAATATTTTCAAAGGATTACTCTCTCTGTTTGTGTGTGTGTGTGTATATATATATATATATATATATATATATATATATATATTATAACATAAATATAATTTTTAAATAAATAATTATATTCGGCTCTACTATGTATTGAGTACTCTTTTAAGAATAGTAATTGTTGGTGATTGGAATTTATTCCATATACACCAATCATACACTTGAGACACACACACATATATATATATATATATATATATATATATATATATATATATATATATATATATATGAGGTACTGTAAAGTTCTCAGCCTAACCAAAAAGGGATTCTAAGAAAAAATTGTTACTTTTTTATATTTTGTCAGATTTGAGCAAATGGGGAAAGCCAATAACTTTACAGCTTTGAAGTCTCCCCCTGTGTAAGTACTATATTCAAACAACCAAGGGTTATATGAAAAGTAAGGTAAAACATTTACTGATAGAAAACATTGGTAATATAAAAGACTGTGATGTGATAAATCATCTGAACCCTATTGCTAGAGTCACTCTTTTGTCAGGTTGGCAATGTGTCAGGTAGTTTTTGCACCCCAAAGCACAATTGATATCAGTTTCTTTAATGACTGCTAAAATTTGAATTTCAAGTGGCAGGGGAGGTCAGTGACAATGGATACTTCCAGGTCATGGACTTAACCTTTATCTCTGGATTAGTGTAATACACTAAAGTTTCATCACCCATGATCACATACTCCAGAAAGTTCCCATATTCTGCTCCAAAAGCTTAAAAGAAATGCTCATCCACTGGTACTTAGCATTCTTCAGTCAATTGCTTTGCGACTGAATGTTGGACTTTTGCCTTTAGCATGCAAAAATCTTATTTCACTTCTTTGCTTATGGTGGCAGTCATTTTTTTTTTTTTGCGATGTTATATTAGACATGCACTCAATATTAAGTCTGTTGTAGCTGTTACAAGAAATATTGCATACCCACCTCCCCCACTCTGTTGCTTTGTATTTACAGTTTTAACAATGGTTTATGCCTATTTGTATCTTGTTATTTAAACATATTGTGTGCGTATATATATATATATATATATATATATATAAAGAATTAATAGAATTATTTGTAATCTGACATTAACTGTTGGATTCAAAATAAATCCATTAAATCTTTAGAAATTGCTTTGTTTACATTTTGGATAAAAAAATTAGCCGATATGAAACTTTCAAGAAAATAATGATCTTTGTGAAAAGGATATGTATTTCTTAAAAAAAGAAAATAGAACCTTACTTGCTGTCAGAATCTTCATGGCTGAGTGGTAAAACACAGGTGATCAAATGGTTTTTTCCCCCCTACAAAGGGGGATGCAGGTTCAGTCTCTGCTGGGAACTCATTTTCTTGACGAATATTTTTCAAATTTGCAGGCTGGTAGACCCTTGTTTAATAAATAAAATGTGGTATCTATTTTAACTACAAAGTATTCACAATTTGAAATTATATATATATATATATATATATATATATATATATATATATATATATATAAATCTGTGCAATCTGTGGAGTTAAGCTTCAAGATGAGACATCTAACGTACACCTGTTTAACAGGTGTAATATTGGAGGAATCGAGACTTTTTATCATACAATCTCAGTTACGGTGGACTGGTCATGTCTTGAGATTGTCCGATGACAGGATACCCAAGATCCTAATGTACAGCCAGTTAGATCAGGGCTACAGGAATGTAGGACACCCATGGCTAAGATACAAAGACAAGCTGAATAGCAACTTATCAGCAGTCAATATACCAAACCCTTGAGCGCCTAGCTTTGGAGCAGGTAGAATGGAAATCAACGTGTTTTAGTGGACTCAGCAATTTTCAATCTGCTTGTTTGAATCTTCAAGAAGTGAGAGCAAGATCTAAAAGGTCAGCCAATTTAACAGTGATCTCATCTCACAATACTCACACTTGCTCCATATGTGGCCTCCTTTGTAAATCACTAGCGGGTCTTAAATGCCACTTAAGATTATCGCACAAACTTTCATAACTGAATCAATAAGTTGGCAGATCCTTATACGTCGAAACTGACGGGAAAGTCCATTATTATTATATATATATATATATATATATAATCAACACACACACATACACACACACTGGGTTTAACAGCAAAATTAATCCCTCTTTTTTTAAACTTATTCACCATTCTCTTGGTGGTTCTTGAATGAACTTTGAAGATGGAAGCCAGAGTATGAATGTTGGTACCATTACAAAAGGCCTGAATGATCATTTTCCTGTCATCATTGCTCAGTTTGCAAGATATAGTGGGGTTGACACAAAACGATTTTAACCTGTTCTAATTTTAGCTGAATAACTGAAAGGGTTTTTCAATGATTCTTATGCCAAATGGTGTCAAGATGACTAAACGTCTTATCTGAAAACAAAAAAAAAAAAAGAAACTCAATTAGTTTAGTGGTTTTATAGATATTCAAAATTTTGTGGAATGGACAATTATCCCATGATGTTATATGATTTGGACAATTTAGCTGTTATACCTGGTATGTATGTATGTATGTATGTATGTGTGTGTGTGTGTATATATATATATATATATATATATATATATAACCTGATTATAGTGAGATGACTGACCCATCATATTATTTCCAAGTTTCCAAATAAGTTTTAAGTTTTACTACTCTACACACATACATACATACACATTTCATTGTTGTTTATAACTGTTCCCAATTTAAATTTTTTTATTGTCCTGCCAGTTTTTGCATTGCATTCACCATAGTAATAAGTAAGCTTGCTTTTTTATCACTCAACATTTATTTTTCCAACCTCTCCTAAAGTTATTTGAACTTAGTGATCCCTGTAGCTTTACAGCGTTCTCTTCTGGTATTTGCCCAAACATTCCATTTGAAAATTCATACTTGCCTAAGACATGCCACCAATGGAAAGAAGTTGCCTAGGTTACAAAATCACTGCTGCCAGGTCCAGCATGCAAATAAGAAATAATGAATTGTCTTTAGAAAGTTCAGTTTGCCTGTTTCAAAATGCCTCTTGGAATGCTTCAATCAGAGCCACTGAGTCCAAAGATGAACATAGCCATCAGCTTTCCAGAAGAGCATACCTGAATGCTTCTGCATACAAGGCTGAAAATGATGATCAAAGAACTCAACATCTGAGGAAAAACGCTTCTTCAACTGCTGCTGTGTGTGAGGTTGAAACAAGATTGAGAATGCAAAAATGGTCCTTTTCAGGCCCCCCCCATTCAAATTGTACCCCCCCCCCCCCATTTGGGGATGTGCCTCAGTTGCACCCAGTTGTTGTTACTAATATTGATTTTCGGTTGGGCTTACTTTAAATTTAAACTGCTCCAATTGACAGTAAAAATTCCCAGTAATGAAAGACCTAGTCAAAGATGTGTTATACTGCTAGTACCTATATATATTCACCTATTGGTCTGAAATTTTGAGAAATCTTATTAAAGAAAAATCTGCATCTCTAAGGGTTAGAGAGCCACCATTTAACCTGGTTCACTGCTTTGGTCACAAAGAGACAGATGGTCAGGTGGAGTCAAATTTGATGCTTTCAAGCAAAATTTCTCTTGTCAATGATCTCTCAAAGTTCTTCATGCACACAGTTTCATATCCAAACATAAACAAAGAGAATTTATTACACTGGTTTTGAATATAAATAAGTATACTGTTTAATCTATCAATGAAGTGCTTACTCAAATACGACTAATAATAATGTTTTATCATTTCTGTGCAATCTCCTTTGAGACTAGTTGTGCCTTTAGAATCTTAAATACAATTTTTCATCATACTGCATTCTTATGCAAGAAGAGAAAGAGTTTAATTAACCATTATTTGAAAAGTGTAATTTAATAAAATTCTTTTTATTTTCTTTCAGTTACGTCTGCACTGTAGTTGGAGGTGTAGCACATATGATTCCAATGGATAAGAGTACAACAATAGAAGTAAGTAAAACAACAAAAATTAAAGATTAACAAAGCAAATATTGATTCTCTGATTCTCAAGTCATTTTACCTCTGAATTCTTTTTTTTATTTCTAATAATTTGTAATTCATACAACACTGTTCAAAAACCTTCCAAATTTTCAAGACCATCAATCAATAATAGTGTTTACAAAGACACTGAATCATTTATTTATTACAAAAAAAATAGAAAATTACACTTGCTGAATCCATGTTAATAAATGAATTTAATTGAATAAATAATATTGGATTAATTACTTAATTACGGTTTTATATAAATATTTAATTTTTGATTTGTTGCTATCAGAAAGCATTGCAGAACTACAGCTGTAGTACATATTTTATTGTTTTTATATTTTCATTAACTTACGTTTATTTTCATGCAGGAAATTTTATTTTAAATGTTAGGATGGATTATGAAAAAAAAAGGAAGGTATACATGGAGGAGGTGATAAAGGTAGAAGGGATGAAAGAATATGAAGAATGAAAAATAGATGAGGAAGGTGGGAACAGGGTGAAAGAATATGGAGAAAGAAATATATATGGTGAAAAGTAATAAAGCAAAACATTGATTTGTATTTAAACCTCATCAGAAAAATCTGTGTCATGACAAAAAGAAACGCTTAATATTTCTTTTATTTTTCAATGAAGCTCTGATGGTGAAATGGACTAAGTATTAGTTATTTTCACTGAATGTAGTGTCATGTCTTTCATTCTTCATTTTTTTCTGACACTTGAGGAAGTTGCTTGTCTGATTTTTAAAGTGGATACAGCAGTTAGTGACACATGGCTTTTAAGCATAAGTAAAACTATGAAATTCCATCTTCCCAAATGAGGTCTTATTAGTTTTTGACCTGCTCTTAGAGTGAATGTCTCATACCAGAAGTGGAACAAAAAAGAATGAAACCTACCTTGTTATTATTCTATTCATTTTTGACATGAGTTATTCATTTAACTGTGTTACTGAATTTTTTTTCGTGTACATTATATTTGTAAATTGCATTTCCACTTCATTGTGTTAACTTAAAACATTTTTTTTTTGGACTGAAGAAACAAATTAGATAATTTTTTTAAATTGAAATAAGAACTGTAAGTAAGCCTGGAGTTTGTATATGACATGACAATGCATACAATTAATATGCATTTATAAACTATCCTTTTCTGAAATAAAAAAAGGCACAAATACTGTAACTAGAAATGTTATCAGGAGATTTTAAACTTTCATAATACAAATTGAAAATTAACTCCTTTCAACAAAATTATTTTTCTGTCCCAAATTCTAATAATCATATTTCATTCTCCACTTGCAATATTCAATTTCTGAGCTCTTTTGTTCAGATAAGTCAGAAAATTCAGAATTGTAACAATTATTTTGAATATGAGGCAGGGTCATTCAATTTGGTTTTGAGCAGGATGTCAGCACCTTGGCTGTAGCCTCTGTATATGTGGTTTTTTATTATATATGGAACTAGTTTGACAAGACCTCACATTCAACTCATTTCATCTAAGGCAAGAGTATTAGTACCTTAATTTTTTATATCTGACTTTTCATTCACTTGGTCTGAGACTTTGTTTGAGACTTCATTTCACCTCAGACCTGTTGATGGCAGAATTTGAGCCACCATTTTCCTGTTTTTGAATACTCTGTCAAATCCATTTATAATTCATTAGGTGCTTTTTGTTTTCATTTTTTTTTTTAATGATGAATTGTCAAGATAATTTGATTTATTCATTTTATTTGAAATATTGTTCTCATCAGTGATTTTCTATAGATGTTATTATAGACATAACGTTTCAACCAAATACCTTCTGGTAATCTTCAGGTGTCCAATATTTTGACTGATAGGGAATATCTTTTATTATTGTGTCTCATCGATTTCATTTCTTGTTCTTTTTTTGTCAAACTAGAATATATGAATCCTGATCAAGAAACTGAACTCAAGTGCTAGTTGACAGCAGCACTTGATTAAATATTGTCCATAATATCAGTTATGCTGCTGTCAAAGACATTAGTATTATATTTTTGGAAGCATTTAAATTCATTGTCATGGTTATCATGTTTTGATAATTTTAAAAATTATTTTTAAAATGAGGAATTGGCAATATGATTTGATTTATTTAAACTATTGTTCTCATCTTTGATTTATATCCACTTATGAGCAAATATCTTTGGAGAAGGTATGAATTCTTCTCCTTCCTCAGCTATGGGTTAAATAGTAGGACATGTCGAGAAAAATCATTGTTCTCAATAAAGTGTTCATACAATATTCACTCACAAAAAAGAATTGTTCTTACAATTCAAAATATGTTTCAGCTTTAAATAACTTACAAAATTAAAAGAAAAATCAGGCATCCTTGATTGTTATAGACACAACATTATTTTTTTTTTTTGTCTGTCCATTTATCATTGCATAACTGAAGGACCACTAAAGATGTGACCACTAAATTTCTGTGCCGTACACCAGACTATAGTTTTAGCATTTTTGAAAATTACAAAACTTTTAACTAGTGGTTTTATTTTCAATATCAGCCTAATGCTAAACTGGACTCTTACTTTGTATCTACCAGGTTAGCCAAACTGAAAACTTCATCTTTTTGTTTCAGTGTATACAGAAGACATCTAGCTTAGGTTTTCTTAGCCAGAAACAAAAAATATGACTTTTTTTTTTTTCTATTATTTTTTTTCTGTCAATACTTAATCAAACGTGTTTACAAGCAATGGCTACCAGGAGTTTATCAACATTAACCCCTTGATAACATTTATTATAATTCTTCACAAAAAAATAGTTTAAGATTATGTTCATTGTTACTGCAATAAAAATCCAGTAAAAAAAAAAATATTAGAATTGGAGAAAAAATGAGGGTACTTGAAATCTTTTGTAAAATTCCAACCAACAGATATTTAAATTAAATAAGAATAATCACAGTGATTATTTTCAAATAAGCTATGATTTAACAATACCTAGTCTAAATCCATGATCTCCAAAGGACCCATTCAGGCCTCCTGCAGGAACTAGTTTAAAATCCTGCTTGTAGGTTTTTAGCTTTTACTGATAATTCTTTCTCATAAAAAATAGGTGAAGAAATTGTGGCACAGCTGACCTATGAATTATCTTTTTCTTTTTTTCAGAATGTTGTAATTGTTGACTAGATTTGTCTATAGATTATTTCTCCAGATAAACACTGATTCAGAAGACTTGTTGCTATCAATAAGAAATGCATGTGATTACTTTCATCCGCAAGTTATCAATAGGATTAAAAGATTAAGCTTTGGAAGGATTAGGCAGAGTTGGTTATTTTTGAATAAACATCTCTGGCTTTCAGAAAAAGAAAACTAAGCAATTACTGGTGATTAAGAAAAACCATTGTTTTTTGAAGTTGTTAATAAATCAACAGTTGGATAGAGGATAAGCTGATTAAAAGGCATCAGCCAAAAAAAAAACAAAAAAAAAACTACTTCAAACAGTGGATGAAGAAAATCTTCACCCACAGGATTAAAGCAAATGATAGCTTAAGTATGAGGAGATGAAATTGACCTACATAAAATTGTCAACTATATTTTAAGGATATATATGATGGAAATTTTCTTTCCTAGATGTTGCAATATAATTTACTGTTAAATGCCTCTTTTGATGTTTAATTATTGGATATTTTTAATATCATTTGAATCTATGCTTCTGTGTTTCTCTACATGTGTAATGAGCATGTAATTCATTTTCAAATCTAGGATTGTTTCTTAGTTTAATAGCATCATTTAGATGGTATACTGAGTGCATCAGGTAATTAAGAACAAGTAATAATATAAAGAAAATTATATTTAAGAGAAAAAATCAGTATATTTTCAAAAAGATTTATATACACGTTCATTTGAGAAAAACACAAGGTTATTCATCTTTGTGAACAGCCTTGATAAGTGATTGAATCCCTGGATCTGTTGTTTCCCAATTGACCATCATGTCCACAATGGCAGCTTTCCATGATTCCTTGGTATGGTGAAACTTGTAAGAGTTCTAGGATTGCAAAGGAAATACTTGTCGCAGATTACTTCCACAATGGAGAGAACAAATCACTGTAAGTTCAGACTTGAATATCAAGGGCAGAAAAAATGCCCAAATCTCGATTCGCAGGTACTATGTCACAAATCACAATGCACGTAACTAGTCAGAAAAATAACTGACTTACCAACGACTGCTGTGGCCAAAATACACAAATTTTGTGTGCTTCATCCCCAATTCAAGAACACCAACTGCTTTTATCAACTGAGCATTTTTCCCATTCGTCGACAACTGGGATAGGACACACAATATTAGCATATCAAAATATTTTTATGGCGACTCCTGACTTGTTTCTAATTTGAATATCTTGTCTTCAGCATATCATGCAGAATACATTCCCTTTTTTTGGGCAAGTAACTTTCTTCGTCACAACATTTTCTGTCATAAGATACACGCGACACGCTGTTGCTTGGTTTGATGAGGTAATTTGCCATTTTCTTCACTATAAAACTACTGGTTTTTCTCCCTCTAAATAATGCACCAAATATAAAAATCCAAAGGATTCAAATCAGAAGGCTTACATCCAAATTACATTGAAACACCAGTTCTCATCTGATCACCAAAGTTAAGCAACATTGAGCCTGGTCAGTACCTAAATGGGTGACTACTTGGAAATACTAGGTGCTGTAAATTTGGATGTGTGAATGGTGTTATGAATAACAACCCAGAATGTGAAACTGGAGAGCTGAGTTTGAATTCCATTTCAGTATATTACATTCAAATATATTTCAATACATTACATGCAAATACTCTTAGGAAAGGTATGAATCCACTTCTTCTCCCAGCTATGGGTTAAATAGTAAGGCTTATATCTGAAAATCATTATTATCTAAAAAACATTGTTCATGCAATATTCACTTGAAAAAAAGTTGTTCTTACAAGACAAAATATGTTTTGGCTTTAAATAGTTTACAAAAAACATATCAATCAAATCAGAAGAGCTAGGGGACCATATATTGGATATAATCATAAAAATATTTGGCTAGCCACTCCTGCGTCATGTATACTATGTAGGAGGGAGAATAATTCTGCTTGAATATGTACAGCAACCCCTTCAATTTAGTGTTTCACTGTCATGCCCAACACTGTGATGTAAGCAGTGATATTAAATTTGAGGCCCTATGGGAAAAGGTGGGATGGCATGACATGGCCCTTATTATTGTCCCTCCCCAATGCCCATCATAGATCCATGGGGTCTATGCAGAGCCACCTGTAAAAAGCAGGTATTAGTCATGGCAATGTGTAAAAGATAAAATGAAGTCAAGTTCCAAATTTCAAAAGGGAACATTAACATCTTTAACACTGAATATGCTAAGGTTACTAATATAAATGATTAACTAAGGAGCAAATCAAATTATTTCACAATTCATTTAAAAACCTCCTAATTGCAAAATGACTGTAATTTAAATATACAAATTATCATCTTGTGCAAATTGCCACCTTTGTTAATCTAAAGAGCTAAAGATGTACATTTATTTAGAAATGTTTCATCTCTTTCATAATTCTACTCTGGCTTATTTAAACTGATGTCCTCATCTTGATTGTTATATTTACAATATTTCAACCTTTGTACTCTTTTGCCTTCAGGTATTTTGTTATTGTTGGTCAATTAGGAATTCTTTCAGATTGCCAAACAATGTTTGTTTTCTTCTCTTTTTTTTTTTTCTTTTTTCAGTGTAGATTTTTTATATTCATAACAATATTTTCTCTTCTTAAAAATTTCTTGTGTATAGTTAATAATACCACACACTTACATATATATATATATATATATATATATATATTTTATTTTTTTTTCTTTTAGGTTGTAAGACGGAGACCTAAGAAGAGGATTCGTGAGTATTAATATTCTTTTTTTCATATTTTCTTTGCATCCAAAATATATATATATATATATATATATATATATACTTACCTACTTTTTTCTCTAATGTTTTGCTTTTTGCACAATTTTTCATAGTTGCTCTCTGCGGGTGTACATACAGGAAAACGGAAATGGGTGTACTGAAAACAGAATCATCCATTTGTTTCATTTTATTTTGTTTTTACTCTAATTCTGCATTCACAATACCATTTAATATTTAATGTAATTAAAATGAACATTGAAATATTTACACGTTACGACTTCAATTCTTTTTTGTATATTGTGTATAAATTAGAAATGTATTTCTTGCATTTATCTAATTTAAATGTATTTATGCATATTGATACTGCCAGAGTTACAATGTGCCTTCCAGCTTAATAGGAAACAATGAATATGATTTTCACAGCATGACAAATCCAAAAGAAGTCATATAAACAGCAACACTGCCTGTTTCAGGTCTTTATAAACCTTACCAAGTCCTTCAATGCTGTAAACAGAGAACGTGTGGAAGCTCATTAGACACTTAGGCTGTCCTTGCCATTTCGGAGATATCATCCAGTTATTTGATGATGACATGGAGATATCTTTTCAGATTGGTGGCTTACTTTCAGAACCAATCAAGGTACGAAATGATGTCAAGCTATGTGACCTTGTAGCCCCCTACATTGTTCTCCATTTTCTTTTCCGTTATTCTTCTCTTTATCAACTGTAATCAGGGTATATATCTGTCTATATTTCTGAGATGAGGTATTCTGACTATTCAGACAATTTATATTGTTCAGACCATTGTCCTCATCTTTATTTCCATATTCATGATGTTTCGGCCATTCTACACTGATCTTCTTCAAGTGGTATATGATAGAATTTCAAACCAAAACCTTTATTTAGTCCACAGGGGTAGGTTGTTCAGCATGCCCTCATAATCCCTAACAAAAAAAAAACAAACTTAAATCTATTTTCATTTCACATTGTCCCAAAAACATCTTAGAAAATTCATATTACATCTAAAAAGAAAAGTTGTGTGTATGTGTGTGAGTGAGCATGCATGTCTATGCTCTACACTTGTTTTAATAATAATGTTTGTAAAGTAAAAAAAAAATACCATCTGTAACTCTTCAGCTTCTGATTTTCAGACTGTCTATGAAAGGTCTCATTTTTTTTTCCCCCTCTTTCTTGATATTCATGGTTTTGGAGAGGAAAAAATAATTGAGATGGTACACTTCAGTCCATATTTTGCATTACCTTTTATGATATTGATATTTCTTCATGTCTGCTGGTTCTGTTCAGGGTGAGGGGGATATTTTAGTGTGGTTGCCTGTCTGCTAACTTACACACTTAAGTGGATATTGATGTGTAGATATATCTATTTCTGTACAAAGTTTTATGTTTATGTACATGTGTGTTTATATATATATATATATATATATATATATATATGTGGGTGGGTGTATTTAGGCAGCAAATTCTTTTATGCATGTCTGATTATTCAATCAGACATGCTAATTTTTAACAAAATCCGTTCAAAATTTCTTTTATTTTCATTTCCCAAGATTATCTTGGAAAAAGGTCGAAAGTACTTGGGAAATTAAAATAAAAAAAATTTAAACAGCTATAGCACATTTCTCTCATCCTTTAACATCAATACACGGAAGCTTATTCGTGAATATGAACAGATTTTGTTAAAAATTAGCAAACATAATGTCTGTAATTTATTCAATCATATATATATAATTTTCCTGTAATCACAGTAATGTGACTGAAAAAAGATACAATATGGGGAAACATTTTACCTTCTTGGCTATTGGTGACACTTTTAGAGACCTTTATTTTTTATTCTTGTTTATACAGTTCACATCTGAGAAAACAATGTAGAGTGTTTTGCCTGGTATTTTTAAATTGCTCTGAGAATGTTGTTAAATTTTTTTTCTCTCTAGTCTTTTTTCCTCAAGAGCATAAAACCAGTGTCTTAGTTAGATTTTAATTATGACAAATTAAAATCTTATTTATTCACAATTTTCTATTTATTTCACAAGAAATCTTTTTATAGTTTCACAAATTATTTTTCTCTGTGTTATTGATTTTATTTTTATTTATTTTCATTTAATGTAGAAACTTTAATTTTATTTACCACTTTCAATTCTGTCTAGCAACTGAGAAAGTAACTTGAATTGGTTGACTCATAGAACCACCAGAAAACAAAATGGCCAAAAACAAAAATTGGAATGACATATTTTTTCCCAGAATCACTAATTATGATCGATTTTTATTTAAATTTGAAAAAAAAATATATTAAGAGAATTACATTTTATTACAATCTCTCATTTATTTAGGTTTTAATATCTACTTTCTGGATATAATAAATGAAATAGCATTTAGAAAATCAACTTAGTGTGAAAAAGATGCATATATGCTTGTTGTAGGCATGGAGATGTAGAAATAGTTGGGTTGGTGTCCAGATGTGTGGTTAGCTCACTGGGAGGGATGAATCTCAAAGCCTTTGATAAGATATCTGTCTACGAGAAGGAAAACTTTCATATAACACCCACATTATTGCTAATCCAAGTATCTGGTATATGTTTGTATCTGGGGTTGTTAGCATTGTTGGTGTAAACCTGTACATGATTATAATTTTCATCATGATTTGCAACCTGTACATGATTATAATTTTCATCATGGGTATTGTTGACATCATAACATCTATAATTGTGCTACTTTCTGAAGTTAAGTGGCAATGGCAAAGTGGTGATGCATACAAGTATGATGGGCTGGGAGTACATAGCTACTGACCTACCTATTGTTTACCTACCTATGGAAACTAAGGATAGCATTGTTTACCAGATATCTGGAGGAGTGTAGAAAATGTGACCTGAATATTGCCTGTGTCACCAATTAAGTTAAGCACAGCTGGAAGATGTCCCATTAAATGCTCAAAATCAAACAATAACTAAATTAAACCAAAATTTAACATTATACTGGGACATACAAATGCTTATTGATATCACAATCAGGTCATCTCCTACTCAAAGAACTGACCTTGTTGCTAGAATCTCTCTTTGATGACAGCCAAATCAAAGAGTACAGTGTTGAGTTCATATTATTCTAAAATTAATAGCAATTGTCAGATGCTTCTTGACCTGAGCATAAATTTTCAGTTTCACGTTGTGAATACACAATTTCAACATATAGGTGACCATATAATAGGTTATAAAAGGTCTCAGCAATGGCAACTACTTGACCATGTTATTGTTCATAAATGTGACATGCAGGATGTCTGTAATGTGTCGTGTCTCTTACACTAAACCGATGTTGACTGCTCAACAACCCAAGGCAGAATGAGAAAACATGTCTCTGCACATCAGGGCTCAATGCATGTTTTCAGTATTAAATGAAAAAATGAACTTTATATATTGGTCAGTAGAAATAACTCCCACTAAAAGACCCAAACTGTGATTTGGAGCTGCTATGACGGATATAAATTCCATGATTCAATGCTGCAAAGAACACAGAGACAAAGAAGAGAGAGAGAGAGAGAGAGAGACCTGGCTGAGATGTTGACATGCAGAAGCTGGTCGAAAAGGCAGCAGACACACTGAACGCAATACTTTTCAACTTTCATCTTTCACCACCGGCTCTCTATTCGCAAAACATCAGCCGACAGCCATGACCAACTTTCTTTCTTCCTTCCCCACTATGTTGCCTTTTACAACAGCAACAGGTAGTATGCTGGATTTGTATATATGTAAATAAATTTTGCATTTATTTACCCAAATACGATGTATTGCTTTTCCTCAAATTTGTTTGCTGAGGCAAAGAAGAAGTTAACCTCTTCAGCAGTAAAAACAACAGCGACAAGTTCTACCTTCCAGGTCACCCATTCTTTGTTTCTGCAACAAATGTAAGATCTCTGCAAAGTGTGGAGAGTTGAACTAACTATGCACTTGTATGTGTCAAAATGTATTTGATCATTAAGCCAGTTCTTGAAATTGTACTAATATGAAATTATCAAAGTACTTGGATGTTGCAAAATTCCATGCCCATGACACTTGACAAGCTCTGCAAGCTTGAATTGAAATTTGGGTTAATTTCAGTCACTGGTAAAAACAACTTGTGATCAGATCTACAATGCTATGAAAGACTCTAGGTTGGTTTCAGCTGAAAGTTGTGACGGGTTGGATGAAAACAATTAAGTCATGAAAGATATTCTCTCAAATAAGAACAATATGGAAGAACAAATACTACAAAAAGGATTGCCTACAAGCACCTAACAACTGGAAAGGCAATTTATAGAAGCAAAGCTCAATGCTTAACATAAGTTTCATGAGATGACCTGACTTAGCTGCAGAAATGTAGGCTGTTAGAGATAGTAAGAATAGTAAAGAGATGTACAACCTTATGAAGCAGGTCTTTGGGCCAAGAGCAGTCTCAGTAACACCTGTTAGATCTAAAGATGACACAAATGGTAATGGTAATATCAGCCATTCCCTTATAAGGAAACATTTGACATTCATTTACCAAGCAGTCATTGCTACTTTCAGTTGAAATTTATAAAATCTTTCTCTTAAATAATTTTTCAGAAAATAGTTTTCTCAAGTCCAATAGCTGTTATTACTCTTTTAATGGAGATTTACTTCCTAACCTTCTATTTGAAGTAGTGTGGAATGTTAACATCTTGATTAGGTCATTATTTTACCCTCAATTTATATGGGATATTCATTTTAGCTGTTGCAAGTCCTGAAGTGATGCAATTTCTGTTATTTTGTAGAGTTTTTTGTGATTCTTTAGTGAAAGTCGAGAATATTAGAAGAAGGATGATCTTTGCCAAGATCCACAGGCTTCACTCACTCAAAGCCATTTTGAACCATTGATCTTACAAAGCAGTTGTATACAGCTATCAGTTTAGATATTTCTGAATGGATCTGGCACCATGCATGACATTAACATGAAAGTTTCAAGCACTAGGATGGTAGAAAT